AAATTTTTTTTACTAATCTATAGCCGAGACCATGTAGATTTAGAATATATCTCGTTTTTGATTACAACTCCATTGACTGTTGTGAAAATTATACTTTTCTCGTCGATACCACTCTTTTCAAACTATTTTTTGGTTGTTTGGTTATCTGTTTTCCTATGATCCATAGATTTTATAACAACAATTTTTATGCCATCGGATAGAGCATCACTTGAAGTATATAAATCACTATTTAAATCATTCGAAAGTCGATTTTCATTTTTCGCCCTAATGTCCGCCTGGATGTACACTGTACTGACCCCACCTGTCTATATATTCTGACCAGCTCAGTTTGTAGAGAATTCCACGGGCTATCCAACAGTATTCTTTTGAAAAATATATAATTTTCCATTAAGACAAAAAAACCTTCAAAGTAAATATTGACGCCGACCGTTTACTTCGACTTTTGGTCACAAAATTTTCTGTAACAAATTTGCATATCCTAAACTTTTGACGATGAGTCCAGATAGTACACTGGTAGTACTATCTACCGCAAGTAGTTCGACTTCAATGTAAGTTCATTATAACGAGATCGATCGCGCACAAAAGTGCTCCATGAAGCTCCGTATGGTCTTGCTGTAATGTGTGGGGTGAGAGGTATATATCATATTTGTATGTTATTATATGGTAGATATCAAGTACTACCTACCTCGAAAAAATAACGGTTCCATCTCTTCTCGTTTATGAGAAAAACGAAATGTACGTTTTTCACGCGTATAACTTCTCGAACTTTACCCCAGTCGAAAAAGTTTCATATCTACAGAACGAAAAGTTGGGGAAGCTTAACAATCTGAATTTATAGGTTTTCGAACATGCTCTAGAAGATGAGACCGCTTAGAAAAAAATCTGAAATAGTCATTGAGCTTGGCTTGTCATGGCTTATGCGCAATGACTCTTAACAGGACCCTTGCTCTGAATTTTTGTCAAAAACTATTTTATTTCCAAAATTGACAAACTGTACATCACACGATGCAAGTTTTCATGCTGATTCTAAATATCACATTAATTTTCAATAAAAGTGTTTCTCGGCTGAGGAAAATGGAAAATCCTTCAAAAACTAGGCTTTTGAAAAACCTATCACTTCGTATAGGAAAGTTTTGACATTTTTTGGTAAGCACCATAGATGCAGGGCATCAAGACGAACATTTTGGCGTAAAAATGAGTGAGATTAGACCTCTGCTAAGTCGCGCGTTCCGATTATACTGAGAACATCGTTTTTCCTAGCGTTTTCCTTATATGACCTTTTTTTCCTTATCGAATATTTCCGTAAGGAATAAATAATGTAAATATAATTTTGCTCCATTCGATAGCGCATCTAACCAAGTACTTTCGACTCTATTCAAATCACAAAACAGCTCACTTTCGATTTTTGGCCAAATGTCTGCCTATATGCCCACTGTTCATATGCATCTCGATGTGCTTTATACAATGATGATTGAACCAGATCTCTAGCTTAAAAATCGAAGATTTTATAGATTTTTTAAATTTTGGTTAAAAGACCGATAAAAAATTCTGAGAAAATCTTTTGATACAAAAGTTTAGCTGAAAAGTCTGCAACTCTAAGTCTTTGTTCAGTTTTCAATTTCCTATCGAATACCATTTGGCCGAGGTCTCCATCCCTTTCCAGTGTTGAATTATTTAAATTTTAAAAAAAATTCAAATATTGAAATTTAAAATTTAATTTAAAAATTTTAATTCAAAATTGAAGACACGATTTTGTTTTCCTAATGTAGCCCATTGTTTGCTGAATGTAGCCATGTAAAAATTAAAAAATGCTCTATCGTTTGCTAGGTTTTCTTGAAACAACTTTTAATCGAAACCTTTATGTCAATGACATCTACTTGCGAGCATTTTCGAGAAAAGTATCCGCTACACAAACGAAAGAGCTCAAGCATTTTCATCTCACAAGCCTATATTGTATAATTTGAATCATCTAGTTCTTCCAGTATTCAACATGTTAGTCAACAACAATGTTGTTCAAACGCGAATTTGAACCATGAAATTAATCAACAAATGTACATTCAAATATTTTACAAAATTGTAACAGTCAACATTTCAAATGTTGATATCATTGTTAGATAACACATTTTCTAATTTGATTTAAAATTACAAAAGATATGTGTATATCTATCATTTTTTATGATGTAATCTTATGACATAAAAACTATCAAATACGTAGATTCCTCTTCAATAAATAGCAAAGCTAAACGTTCTACTTCGTTCTATTTTTCCAATGTGTACAGATTTATTTATAAGTTTAGCCAGTATTTTATCCTACACTAAAAAAAAACAAAAAATAATGCATAGTTAACTTGAATTTTCTCTTCTTATGAAGCTTTCTAAAACATGAAACATTACAATTATTATTCTTTATAAATCGGCCACTATAATAGTTACAGATAAAAAAAAGGGATAGTGAAATTGATTAATAAATAAAATAATTGATTAAAAATAATACAGGGTTTTGTGTTTTTGGCAAATAAATAACTTCTTTTCTTTTTTTTTTATACAAAATCATACGAATTACATAAAAATGTAAATAAACAAAAGTACTTGCGTAACACTTATACGAAAAAAAAGCTAAAATATAGGTTGAGCATTAATCACATGAAAAAAAAACGTAAGGCAAAAAAAAAAATATGGACGGATTACAATATCGTGAAAAGGAAAGAGAAGAAGTTAAACAAAGTAGACAACATTTGGCTATCCACAACTTTGAATTTGATGATGAATCATTTTGTATTGAAGCTTTAGATAAGATCCGTTTTTTGCAATAACTTGACAAATTTTCAGTAAAAAAATGGTGTTCTTTTTCTTCTTTTCTATTATGAAAAGCTTCAACACTTGAAAAACTGTACAGAAATGTTCTTTTAAACTATGTTTTGTCCATACAGGCATAGAGAATAATGCTGTATTAGAGACGAGACACTGTTCATGGTTATTAATCACCGGGGGCAGGAGATTCGAGGTACAAAAAATGATTACAAATAGCGATGATTAGCTAGTGGAATATTTAATCGTTTTCCTGCTATAATTGGTGGTAAAAGTTCCATTGTTGGCGTGGCTGTTGTTGTTGTTGTGGCAGATGAACTACTTTTCGATTTCTCTTTGAATCCACCACGATGTTTGTGATTATGATGACGATACGAAGTGATTTGTGTGTCAGAATTGAGAGTAATTAATTGGGTATTATCATGTGACTGTTGTTGATGTCTGGTATTTCTGACATTTGACGAATTGATTGCTAATTCTGATAATCCATCTACATTATGTTTTAAAACGTTACGTTGTTGTTGTTGAGATTGAATAGTGGGTGAATCTTTTGTGATAAATGTTGCTGAATTTGTGGCTAAAAAGAGAAAAAAGTCATAAAATATTTTGCAGTTACAGTTGAACTTTCCAAGAAAATGATATTTCATTTTTTTTTTTTGTTAACATTTATTGATGAATAGCAGATAAATACGAGGACATCTTACTATTAATGTTAGATGAGAAACGGGAAATCTATCTTTTCTAATCAGATTAGATATTTAAATCATCTACTCAAATATTTATCTTTCTTTTCTTCTTTCTAGACAATTTCTTCAAAGAAGATCTTAGCATACCCAAATTTAGATAAGAATATGGTTGCTGTTGTTGCATTATTGGTTGTGTAATTGGTCTACTATTGCTTGCACTAGTACTTGTGCTTGTACTATCATTTTGTATTACTAGTTGAGTGTCAGCGGCCATTTTTTCCAGAGAATCTTGTCGAGATATATCAACGGGTGTAACAGTTAAACCAAAATTTCTTAAACGTTGCAATAAAGGTGATGCATTTAAAATCATTCGTCGCTCTGCTTGAACAGCAGTGGTTATTGGTAATTGTTTTAATTGTTGAGACGACGAAGAAAATGTAGATGTAGAAGCCGATGTATTAGACATCATAAGATCTTGTAATTTTGAATAACGTTGCATGATGGCTAATGGATCTGAAGTTCCACCTCCTAAATGTAAACAAAAACATTAACAATAGTCAAAGAGATGTATATATTGAATTACCTGCTGCTGTCATTGTTTGTCGTTGTTTGTTTGTTTGAAGTCCACTTTCTGATACCGAATGTAGTATTGACTCGTTGTTATTTGATGGTGGATGTCGCTTTATTTCCATAGTGGGTACACTAATAACAGTACTTTTTGAGTGTGTTGAACCTTTTGAATTGAGCAATGATGTTAAATGTTCTTTTAACAGTGATCGTAATGCATCTTGATTTAGAACACCTGGGTTAGGACGTTGAATAGGTTGTTGCTGCTGTTGTTGTTGTTGTTGTTGTTGTTGTTCATTTGGTGTTTGATGATGAGGCGACGATGGAGAATTGTGTTGAGATTGAGATAGTTCACGACTGGCATGACGTAGTGGCAGACGAACGATAGTCGGAGGAGGAATTACTTGACCTAAAATAAAAAATCAAAGGATTGAAAAGATAAAGTGACCTATCAATAAATGCCTTTTTACATTATTCTTTCTCATATCATGAAATATTCTTTCAAAAAGTGTGTCATAGTTCTTGTTTACAAGTAACTGGTATACTTACATGAAAGTGGTGATCCTATGTTGACCGTTGTTGGCTGAGGTATCGCTGTTGTTATATTAGGAGGTGTCTGTAATGTTGGCTGTTGCCGTTGTTCATTCATAAACATGTTTGCGACTTTTGACTGTATAATATTTTCGTTATTCTCATGATAACGTTTTTCTCTCAATAATAATTGACGAATTCGTTGTGGAGTAAAATTATCTGAATCATTTTTTTCTTTTTCTTTTGCTCGAGAAAGAATGGAAATTGCATTTGACGATCCCTTAAATGGTGGCGCAGAGTTTGGTTTCTCGTGTCTAAAATGAAAAAACGAATTGCACACAAGTAAATACGAAGTAACTCTAAGAGTGTTCAAAAACACTGATTCACCGCCTATTTCGCGAACATTTTTCAGGAATCGGGCCCCGACTCTTTCGCTGGTTTTTATAAATAGATGTTAGGAAAACTAACAAAACAACGGATATTACTGAACGTAGTCGTTAAAAAAATCTTCAAATAGGTTCAGCTTGAAATACTGACATAACCAGATAAGTACCTGGAAAACCGAAGCAAATTCACACTATGTAATGCAAATATCTTTTATGTGAAACTACTTTTCGAACTTACTCTCACACTGCCAGAACAACTCTCCCAAATGATCATCATGTGCTTACTCTCTCTTCTTTCGTATTCATGTCAGTTATATTAAGGACGCATTTTATTATAGAGCTAGTTTATTTTGTTTTTTATTCTTTTCCCACGTGTGTTCTTTAGAAAAAATTCTTTTTGTACTCTGTACCATTCTGCTGATCATACAACATGAATCATTGGATCTGCTAGTATGGCTTCAAAATGTATTATCAAATGCTTTCAAATAAAGATAGTTTAAACCAAATACCTAAATTTGTATTAAGAAAATTCGTGAAAGAGTCGGTTCGCACAAGCGTCCTTCGTGAAATAGGCATGTCATGAAAAACACTCATTATCAGCTCATCACATAGATGTCATAATGACAGTAAATAGTAAATAACGTTATATTAGTTCTAACGAGGAAACATTTCTAGATGCGTAGCTCCGATTTTGTTCGTTCATACATCATTCGATAGGGAACACCTCGAGTAGGTAAAAAGCCTAAAAGAATATCGGCCGATGGCTCTTGAAGGCCCGGTTTCAGAAACTTTTCTTAATGAGCATAATTGTAGCCCGCACATTTCTGATTAAAATGAGACGTCTTCCAGCTATACACGACCTTTCTTTGCAAAGTTATAGAATTTACAAGAAAAGTCCTAAATTCCTTTTTCTTTCTATATCTTTGAGCTGACAATGAAACATTTAGGGCTTTTCTTGTATATTCTATAGCTTTGCAAAGAAAAGTCGTGTAGAGCTGGGGGATGTCTCATTTTAATCAAAAATTTGCGCGTTACAATTACAAAAGGTTCTGGTTATATTTTA